AGAGAGAGAGAGAGAGAGAGAGAGAGAGAGAGAGAGAGAATGGCACAGACAGTTCCAATTCATTGTGACCCTGTACAGGATTTCTGAGGAGCAGCTGGTGAACTTAAACCTCTGATATTGAGATTCAAACCCACCTTGCAGTCCAGCACATTAACCCACAATACCATTCCAGGAATCCAGAAAATGATGAGGAAGTCCATGTGTACAATATATATAATATGGAAGTAAACAGAAACAGGTGGACAGAGCTAAATGGCATGCAGGAAGTCTCACAAGGCCAGATAATCGATAGCCCTGAATTCCACTTACTAAAGTTTTGGTCTCTTAATATTTTTTACTGCCCTGGGATCAGAATGGCAATAAACATGTTGGGTTAATGAGTAGCTTTGGATATTGAACCTCCAGGGATAAAGGCACTGCAAATTGTCTACCTCTGATATCTCACTTAAGACTCCCTCATATATAAGGCGGTAGAAGACATTGCCTTCTTCGCAGAGATGACCATTTTTGCCCAGGACTCAAGAGCTTCGTTCAGACCCTTTCTCCTTCCTGAACACAAATATTCTGTCTTCTACAAATAGAGGAGATGTCTGGCATCATTCCTTAGGGATGTCAAGCCAGCTAGCCTAAATGCCCAAAGTTAATGTTTTCAGAGAGGGGCAGGTTTTTACTACAGGTACAGCTATGAGAATGATGCACCTGTAAGCATTCACAAAATGATTGGAACCAAGTGTCCCTTGGGAATCTTAGTTGTCTGTCATTTTCTTATCAGGTATCTTTTTATCTTTGTAGCAAAATCCAAGAATTTGTATGCTAGTGTCTTTCAATTGCTGTATAATTACAAGGGTAATTTTCCTGTTGAGTAATAATCTAGCCTTGTAAAACTGAGCAATGTTCTATAAAATTCTCTGCTTTTAATTGTATTCTTATGGTGGTGGGGGTTGTCATCTTCATCTTCCTGAATCTTAGTACACCTTTGTATTTTCTCTAGCACCTGGCTCTTATCTCCAGAGAAGGGCTTGAAGACTAAGAATTACTCAGCAGGTTTCCTTCCAAACGGAATTATTTCTGTTGAGAAAATACTAAATATGTAAAATAATCATAAAAGCATGGATTGTGTAATAACATACACAAAAATGAATGCTGATGTTAGCTTTATTACAGTTTCTTTTCAAATAATTAAATACTATACATAGAGAAGGTATACCTTTTGTCTTCACTTCCATTCTTTTTTATTTCTTCCTCAAGATAATGTTTGCCTTGGTGATGTTCCTACAGCTGCTGGTCCTGAAATCACAGATTTGATTCTCATATCATTTCATTTTGCCATCAGATTCATCAATAATATGGAACTCAGAAACCAAACAGGTATTGCAAAAATCTTTCTCCTGGGACTGACAGAGTATCCAGAATTTCAGCCTCTCATCTTTAGCTTGTTCCTGATCATGTACCTGGTCACTGTCCTTGGAAACCTGCTCATTATCCTTGTGGTCAGCAGTGACTCTCACTTGCATACCCCCATGTACTTCTTTCTCTCCAATCTATCCTGTACTGATATCTGTTTAAGCACAATTACCATTCCAAAGATGCTGGTAAACATTCAGACACAGAATCAGAGCATTACTTATATAGGCTGCCTCAGCCAGATTTTCTTTGTTCTGGCTTTTGGTGGTTTCGAAAACTTTCTTCTTGCAGCAATGACCTATGACCACTATGTGGCCATTTGCCAGCCACTGAGGTATACGGTCATCATGAATCCCTGCTTCTGTGGTCTACTGATTCTTTTTTCCTTGTTCATTAGTATGTTGGATGCTATGATGCACTGTGCAATGATTTTGCATCTGTCCTTCTGTACAGACCTAGATATTCCTCAGTTCTTCTGTGAACTTGCACAGGTACTTAAACTTGCTTGTTCCAGTACCCTCATTAACAATATTCTCACATATTTTGTGGCTAGCATATTGGGTGTTTCTGTTTTCTCTGGTATCATATTCTCTTACAGTCGGATTGTCTCCACTGTTCTAAGAATGCCATCTGATAGTAGAAGATATAAGGTATTTTCCACCTGTGGTTCTCACCTCTCAGTTGTTTCTTTATTCTATAGGGCATCTTTTGGTGTTGTCTTCAGCTCTGCATTTACAAAATCTCCCACAATAACATCAGTAGCTTCCATGATGTACACTGTTGTCCCTCAAATGATGAATCCTTTTATCTACAGTTTGAGGAACAAAGACATAAAGGTAAGCTTCAGAAAACTCATTGGTAGGATATCTTATTTTTAGTGATTGCCAATTCACTAATAATAAGACATATCACTGGTAAACTTGTCCTTGGGTCAGCATCAGAATAAACCACACTTGATTTCATCATCTAAAAAATGGTTTAATTGTATCTTCTTGGTGGTTTTAGATGGCCGTGAGATATTTTAACATCATCAATGAAAAAGCCTTTAGTGAGAACAAAAGAATATCAAACACTAACATGATTAGAAAATAGGAAGAGTTATTTTTCATTAGAATGTCTTCAGAGGCAGGGATGTACAGACACAGGAGAGTATGGCTTTATTATCCCTGCACTTGGTGACTTTTTCCTAGCAATAAATTCCCACATGATCTTTGAATTGCTGTAGCAGATGCAGGTATAACATGACAGATGCTACGCAGATAGAAAAAAAAAAAAAATCGCCCTTCCAGTGTCTATTGTTAATAGACACCGCTTAAAGGCTATTTCTGTCTTCTAATTTTTGAGCCTCTAACTAATATACTTTTCATAGTGTTTCTATGGTTTGGAGCCTGCTCAAAGGCACCTAACAACAGCAACAAAAACTAACTGATCATGTCTGTCCATCTTGGTTTCTAAGGAGCACTCTGGTTGTACTTCTTCCAACACAGATTTATTTAGTCTGTCAGTTCACAGGACCTTCAACATTCTTCTCCAACAACACAATTCAAATACATTTGTTCTTCAATGTCTTCGTTATTCATGATTCTACTCTCACATGCATGTGAGGCTATCCAAAACAGCATGGCTTTGGCAAGACATACTTGAGTAATCAAAGTGACATTAAACATGTGTCACAGGGTAAGTTTCAAGTAAGATGTATCCAGTGTCATCAAGTTCTATTTCTTGCCAATAGTCACAAGTCACACAATCCCTTTTTCCTGACATATGCTTCCATTTGCTTCAGTAATTATATTTGCTTGTCTGCATTTTAGCATCTATCACAGACTTTCTACTCTTAATGTATAATCAAATGATGGTTAAGTATGGTAAATACTCATAATGCTTTTCTGTTACCATTTTTCTTTTATTTCTTCTTGTTAATTTATTAAAAATAATGAAAGTGAGCTTCACTTTTCTGTTTATTCATGTTGTCTTTCTGTGCTTCTTACTCTTGTCTGGACCATTAAGAAACATGTGGCTGAGTTAAAATAGTTGAAAACTAGAGTCTAAAATATTGGTCTTATGCCTCTCATCCAAAATAATTTAATATCTCTTTTGGATTGAAAAAGTTTTATTATGAACAAGAACTTTACTTTTAGTAGAGCATGTTGAGTGCAAAAACAACACAAAAGAAAATGTCAATTGGCACAAAGTTAGAGAAGATATTTCCATAAATACAAAAAAAGCTATGTTTATATAAGTCAGTGTCATCTTTATGGATCTGAAGGTGAGAAAAATTGGGTCAGCGTCTCACAGGAGAATCAAATGCCTGTTGATACTTCAACTATGTTCAGAAAAACTCCCGTAGGATAGGCACCCACAGAATTTTCTATTGTTGAAGTTCTTACATTGATGTTCACAGAATTCTTGCTGAGATGAATCTGAGACCCTTGTTCACATGGCAGGTTTCTGGACCTCTCCCAAGAATTGCTATCTTACAACCTTGGGAAACTCTGAAATTGACCTTTCCTCATTTTTACTATTTAAAATTAGTAAATCATATACAAATCAGTGTGTAAAATGTGCTCACATTCTGCTGTAAGGTAACATTTGTTCCTGGGATTAGAATTGTGATTTACAGATGTATTTCAATCAAGAGGGAACACAGTGGCTCTGTATAATGAGCACTAGGCTTCAAAAAAGGTCATTTTTTCAAGCCCATCAGTCATTCTTAAGGATAAAGATGAAGCTCTTTGCTTCCATAAAAATGTATAGTGTTGGAAAGTATGTACAGTGTCTCTATGAGTCAAAGTGACTCCAAGGCACTAAACAACAACAAAAACATTCCAATCAATAGTAGTCCCTAGGTGGTGGAAACAGTTAACACATTTGGTTGCTAACTGAAAGGTTGGACATTTACTTCCACACAGAGGCAACCTGAAAAAAAGGTCAAAAGATAGATTTCCCCCCAAAAAATCAGACATTGAAAACCCTAGAAAAGTTCTCCTAGGTCGACATGAGTTAAATTTAATTTAATAGCAACAGATTCTGGTTTTATTTGAATCAGAATGTTTTCCCTCTTTCTTTCCAATGTGTGCACACCCTTCCTTGATTAGCAGTTTCAAAATTGAACTCACTAATCACCAGTCCTCTTCTGAATTCAGTTTACCAACTCTTACTTATTGCTGGATGATACTGAAACTTTTACAAACCCAGATGTAAGTCAGCAGGCAGGTTACTGCAGTGTTTTCTTCTTCAGTGAAACTATCAGATGTTCTAAATCCACAAGCATGATCCAACATAGTGACTAGAACCTTTGTATTAACCAACATTCCACAAATCAAGAAGCACTGTCTCTATCCTTGGCTTCAAGTATCTACTCTCAGAGGATAATTAGTCTTTATATCCTAAAATTAGTAAACTTCCTGCTACCACTTTTGCATGAACATAAATCCTGCTCACTAAATTTTACCTAAGTTCTTTCTTTGGCATCTGCAAAAGTTTATAATGATTTTTGTTTCAGTTTCATTGGAGAACATGGAAAACTTAAGCATATTTTTGGAGCCTAGCACATCATATTATATTTTAATTATTATCTGTTTAAAGTGAATGAGGTTTAGAGAAAATTGGATGCAACAATGTCAATCATTTTAAAGTTGGGTTTAATATATGAAATAATATACATTAACAATATTTATATAAAGAAAGAAATTAAATTAAAATATATTGTTAAACATGTGATAATATTGAATACAAAAAGATGAAAGTTTATAAGTGAAACACTACCT